CTGCCCCTCTCACCCTACCCCCACCCTAAACCCTCAGCCCCTACACCCGAATCCCTGTAGCCGATAACCTAAGTAAACCTTCCGGGCAAAAGCCCCAGCGAGGACGCTTTGAAGGAATTTCAGGAGCTGCTTGCCCGGAATTGCCTCAGGAGGACCGAGGGGTGAAGTATTCATGGCTTAGGGCCTAGGGGTTTTTAGAGTATCGAGGGTAGGCTGTTAGGGTATTAGGGTATTACTTTTAGGGCTGAGGATTAGTGGATTTGGGGTGTCGCCGCGGCTTCCGGGGCCGTGAGGATTCATCAGCTTGTCAAGCACTTCGGCCTCATGAGGGTGAGGGTTTAGGGTTGAGGGTTTCTGCATTTTTAGGTTTGGGAGTTGTCGCTTCTGTTTCTCTTTCAGCCCCTGGAAAGGACTGAAGGGAACGGGTTGGCTCTTCTAGGTGTTGCTTACGTAATTGTTGCTGTCAGTCATCACCTTACAAGAACCGTGATAGATGAGCATCGACACTGCTGCTGCTGCTGCTGCTGCTGCTGCTGCTGCTGCTGCTGCTGCTGCTGCTGCTGCTGCTGTTGCCGCCGCTGCCACCACTCGTATTGGTTGCATATAGCCCCTGCTTTCATTGAATGGCCATATGTGCGTGATGATGTTGCTCATCTTGATGCTTAAAGCACTTGGGAGAATTGTGACTTCTCCGCTGGGGTGAGATTACTGTGAGCCCGTTACATGTACTGCAGTTATGTTCGTGATGAATGCGATGATGACAAGGCTGATGATGAAAGCCATGGACGAGCATTCCTTGCTTAGCATGATTGTCGCTGCGCAGCGTATTTCTCTACTTTGTCGCACACCCCTGCCCCCAACCCCGAAACCCAACTTATGCATACCTAAACCGCAAACCCATGAATCGCCAGCCGTAAAACCCTCTTAGGACCAAAGACGATGTCGCCCTGATGCTTCCGGGTAAGAACGACCGAGCATGGAGCTTAGCAACCAAGGGGTCGTAATCGTCACCACCGTCATACCCTAAGCCCCAAACATAATATAGGTTCAATAACTACCTTTATCATGTTGAGGGCTCCTTATTACAATTATACTATAAAGGACCCCAAAACCCAGTTCTAATTATTAAGGCCCCTATATTAAGCAGCCTCAACATCGCTGCTTTCGTGGATCTTCGTTAGCATCTTCCTCAACCGCAGAGCCACGGTTTAGGGTTTAGGGTTTAGGGTAGCATCATCTTCGTCGCAGCATCTGATCCGCAGCACCTCTATGATCATCGTCATCAGCACCGTCATTTTTGGAGGTGGAGCCTTTCTCTGGACTTAATAGAGCAAGGTGTGCATTAAGGGTCCCTCTTTAAGCTTGCTGCCCTCAAATCCATCAACACAGAATTTGCCATCCGAAGCCCATCAGAATGAATAGCATGTACTCCTACCCCTTTACGGGCTTCGGGCTTGGGGCCATTAACCCCTTCAGAAACCCCAGAGAAGTTTTCGTGGGGTGATCCAGAAGCGGCTGAGCCTTGACTCAAGAAGCCTAAGTCTTGAAAGTGTAAGCACAGCCCTCCCAGACCCAAGAATCCTGAGCAAGGCCCTATACGCCGGGACCCTAAATCCTGAATCCTTGAAGGCGAAGCCCCAAAACTCCAAAACTCTTTATAGGGCGGGCCTTAATGATTAGAATAGGGTTTGGGGTATATTGTACAAAAACTATAATAAGGAGCCCCCCAAAAACATTATTCTAATTATGAAGGCCCCTACATTAACAACGCAAAATCAGAATCCGAAGCCGTAAACCCATGCAGTCTCCAGGTAGTGCCCTGCCCCCTCAGCCACATCCAGCAAGCTGCATATCGCAACCTCCTCGCGAGCCCGGAAACCCAGAAAAAGTCAGGGCGAAAGAGCTTTTGGGTGGCAAAGAAGGGATTTCCAAGGGTTGTGTGGCTTTTTGTTCATTGGCTTTGTAGGAGTGGCAAGGTGGAGATTTCGGAGGTAGGGCTGTCAGGGTTGAGGGTTGCCAGGCTCTGTGCAGACTTTGGACCTTTTGTTTGGAGGTCGCCGTCCGGATTTAGGTACGGTTCAGGGAAACCCTAAACCCTAAATACTGAACCCCTACACCCTAAACCCTAAACCCGGTTCAGGGCTTCTGGGCTTTGAGGTTGGGAGATGACGGTTCTCAAGTTTGGAGTTTCCGGTTGAGTGGTACGTGGATCCTCCACCACATGCCTGCGCCATCCTCCGCCCAAGTGACTTCAACAGGAAGTTGCCAAGAAGCTTGCTGGCCAGGACGAAACATAGCGGCCATCACAAGCAGAAGTAAAGTTTATTCACATTCTTTCTACTAATAGTCTCTGCGAAGAAAAGAACATGACTCCAACCACGACGTTCCACATACTCCGGGCTTGTCGACTTTCCCGATTGTCCGAAACAGTGTTTCCAAACACTCTTGCCATGCTGTCACATGGAAGACACTGTCTGACAACTGCTCCAGCCCTTGTGAAATCTTGAACGCATATCAGCAAAGCAACCTTGATGCTGACAATGCTCAGAATAACAATGCCGAGTACAATAGGCATGAACGCACCGAAAGCCAAGCAGAGACACCTCTACTGTAGGCGCCTTAATAATAGAATAGGGTTTTGGGGGTTTCCGTAAAATAAGTATAGTATAGTGGGCCCCCAAACCCTATTCTAATCATTAAGGCCCCTATACAACCTGTAAAGCGCCAATCTTCCCACAAAATCCTTCCTGAAAGGCCTTCGTCCAAAACAGTCAAGAAGAAGCAAGGCGAAGCAAAATGGGGCGACATTTAAAGCAACCTCCAAAGCCTAAGCCCTGAACCCCTAAACCCTAAAAGCCCTAAAAACCCAAAAAACTGAAAACCCTCAAGCTCAGACTGCTTTGAGACGAGGCCCCGACTTCCAGATCGCTTTGGGCAAGAGAGAGCTGCTCAGTGGAAATACCAAGTCGTTGGGCATTCAATTTTTTAGGGCTGAAGGGGAAGGCGGGGGGCTTTGCTTCCTGCAAAGTCTCTTCTAGAACCCCTGCAATACGGCTGATGATAGAAATCCCGCATTCCCCTTTTTTGGAATATACCACAATTCCCATAGTTTAGGGTCCTTAAGGTAATGCAGGATTTATATCATCAACAGTAGTGGCCAACAACGGTACCAAAGCCTCGTAGCCCCAAAACCGTACACGTATCAATTTCCAAAGCTTTCAAGCCCTTGGAACCAGAAACTCATCCCCCCCGCCCCTCCGACATCAAAAAAGGGCGCCTTAAGAATTACCTGTACTATTTTGGTGGTTCCTAATTTTAATTAGAGTATAATGTACTCCAAAACCCTATTCTAATATTGACAGGCTTTCGCCCGCATCACTCCAAAACGCTATTCTAGTTAGTAAGGCCCCTACATTAAACCCAAATCCCACCCTAAGCTCCACTCTGAGACCTACACCGATGCTTCCTCTTGCGTTCAGATTGCTGCCCAGGGACTGAGTATACAGGGTTTTTCTAGAGTTGTGACAGGTCCTCCAGAGCTTTCGTGGGTTGAGGTACGACAGGCTTGAAAGAAGCAAGGGGAATGCTAGAAGAAAGAGTATCTAGGCTTGAGTCCCCGAACGCCACCCAGTTTCTCTCAATGGCCATGCCGTTTCTTCACATCCAACGCGAGAATCGCATTTACCCTAACATCTGCATGTGCTCACTCTACCCTGAAGCCTAAACGTTGAAGCCCCGAAACCCCTCAACCCTGCATTTTTTAAGAGACGGTCGGTCGCCGAGGCTTTGTGTTTGCGGAGCTGGAAGGCTGAGTGTGGGACTGCTCAAGGTTGCTCTGTGCTTCGGGAGGCTTCGTGTCGGATTTATGGGGTGGGCTTTGTTTAGGTTTTAGGGTTTAGGGTTTAGGGGTTTAGGGTTTAGGATTGACTGCAGCTAAAATTGAAGATTGCCGTTGCTGAAAGGATTAGGCCCGTGAGCATGTGTGCCGGCAGCCGTATGTATACATACACGTACATATTATGTACGTGCCTGCATGCATACATACATACACATGCACGCAAACATTATTATATGTACCTACGAACCGACATACACACATACATAAATACATACATACATACCCACATACCTACGTACATACAAATTTAACCTTCAGGCCTGGTGATACGATTGATGCCCGAAATCCTGCATCACTTTGAAACTACCAACGGCCCCCCTGCTACCCCCCCAATTCTAATATTGCACTGATGCAGGGTCTAAACCCGGGACTGAGCGAATGCCCAAAATCCTGCATGACCCCACGGGGATGGCAACATTGAAATTCAGGGGGTTGCGGGGAAGTGGATAGCGCGACATGGAATATGTGCGACGAAGTAACTCATGCAGGGATGTTGGGCATCAACAGTATCATCTTCTGGATCCGATACCCACACTTCATGAAGATAGGAATTGCTGAACCTTTCCGCCTTGTGATCTGTGCAGGACGAGAATTGTAGGATAAGCATTGCAGTCCTCCTTGCGTGGAGCCGGTATTTGCGGAGTTTAGGATGGTGAAGGGCCTCAACCGGTAAGGTTAAGGGGCTTCGGGTTTAGGGTTTAGGGGCGAGAGCATCAGGGAGCAGGCTTGTCGGCGAGGGTTCTGCGCCACGGGATTGGGAAGTCGGCTCGAGGCAGGAAGACCACCGAGGAAAGTTCTGTTCACATAAATGGGTGGTTGTCAAAATTATGGTCCCTTTTGGGTCCTCCTTATTATAATACGGCACCTATTATTTAGGGTACCCCAAAAGGGACCCTAATTTTGACAACTACCCAAATGTCGAGAACCCACACTCCCAAGTTCTACATCTTGGGAGTACAAGCCTGAACCCCCAATCCGTAGCCTAAGCCCTGGCATGCCTACAACTACGCCCTAAACCTCGGCCCGATGCTAACTGCTCTACCGCCAGGATCTTGGTCCTTGAGCGCCCAACCCCACATCCCACTAAATCTTGTACCTCCAGGCCCTGCATGTGTGGCTCCGGACCCGTGTGGCGCTACGTACATCGAAGACAAGCCGAGGCGAAGGCAACGGCTGTCGCCGGAGTTTATAGTGATATTCGGTGTGGTTCGGTATCTTAGGCTCAAGAGGTGTGCGGCTTTCAGGGTGCAGAGGTGGCAAAGCTTAGAGGTTTGGGTCTGAGGCTTCAGGGTTTGGAGTTTCGGATTTCGGGAGATGTGGATAGGGCACCTGTGGCTTTTTTGGTTCGGGCGACATCTCAAGTGCTGGGCAGAGGATGCCAGGGACTACGAGAGAACGGAACACGTTGAGCCCTGAGCCATGGGGGCTTTTCACCCCGAAGCCTCCAATATAGGGGCCTTAATAGTTACCTATACTATGTTGGGGGGGTTCCTTATTATAAGTATAGTATAAATGAGCCCAAAACCTTATTCTAATTGTTAAGACCCCTACATTACCCTGGGTTTTCTTTGAGCGCGTTTTCCTGTCATCTGCTGCTGCAATGGCGACGAAGAAGATTATGAGGGCGATGCTGATGATGACTACGGTGATGGTGGTCGTGATCACGAGCATGGTCATGGCTCATCAAAATCGGAATAACTGGAAGCACGGATAGTTGGACCGTGCGAAGTACGAGTGGCAGTACCCGCAATTGTCACCATAGCCTTAGCAACGATGACTGTCACGATCTGTGCTGTTGCAGCAAGTAGCGGCAAGAGAAGCCAGAAAGGTTTCGATACGAGGGATAGTAGTATAGTAGTGAGCCATGAAAGAAGACTTGCTGTCATGATACCTGTCTCTATCCTGAGACACCATTAGCAGTAGTAACACTCAAGGTATGTAGCATCATGGCTGCCATCAGTTTGGAGTTACATAGTAAAACAAGGCACAGCAGATTACAATATAAGATAATGAGTACAGTGGATTATATTCGAGTATAGTAAGTTAAAGACAAATAGTGTTCTCCGTAAACTCCACCCGGCTGGAGATTCCATGCTAACCCCTCGACTCGAGATCAACACCCTCCAGCTTAACAGCTAGAACAGGTTTTGGGGGTTCCTTATTCTAGTTATAGTATAATATACCCCCATACCCTACTAATTATTAAGGCCCCTATCTTAACCCTTAAAGCCTAAACCCTAAATACGAAACCCTAAACACGGGATGCCGAAGCTCTTCAGGGGCTGGGAGGGCTCCCTGAAGCCAGGGTTTGGAAGACGAGTGGGCTGCGGCCGACGAGTGCGTGTGCTTTCCGACCGGAATTTATTGGGTTTAGGGTTTAAGGGTCTTCGAGGTTGCAGGTTCGCATGGAAGTTTCGCTTTACAGCACCATGGCTCTGAAATTGAAAGTCTGCGATGTACAAGTATATTGGCGCCCTGAATCATTCCCGCTGCTGTCCCATAGGGTTCCTTAACATAGCCACACTACCATGTACTCCAACGCCCTGTTCAAATCATAAAGGTCGCCACCTTAGACGGGGAGAGATCGCTACAGACCATAGAATGTTGGAATGGCTGAGCACTCTCCAACGACTCAGAAGCAGCCCGTTGCTTAAAGTGTTGAGCTATGGAGGGTTTGTGCTTTAGAGCTGGCTGAGGCGCTAGGGGTCGACTTAGTTTGCTGCTGTTGTTGTCTCAGCTGCTTATGTGTTGCTCTCGGCACACTTAAGAGGATATGCACAGCCAGCCAAGCCTGAGGGGGTTCGGGGTAGTGCTTTAAGTCTCTTTCGCCTGGTTTAGGGCATGTAAGGCTGTGTTGCCTGCATGGCCCCCACTGCAGCTCATAGCCACCCCTGTCGACACAGCCACGGGGCAAGGCCGTAGTCTATGGAAGAGTCAGGTCGTGGGCGGAAGTCGCCCAAGTGCATCTCGTTGTCTCTCATCGCCGAGCACTCAGAGACCGCCGCTAAGAAGCCTAAAGGAGTTAGGGTGTCGGGGGTTCCTAGGCTCCCGGCCGCAAAAAGCAGATATCGAAACCGGCAATGCTTTTGGACGATCCGCTTTGAGTCCGGAGTTGAGGCTCTTGAGCTAAGCTGCAGCGAGAACTCGAATGTTGTGGTTTGAATACTTAGCAAGGCTGTTCCTTGGGTTCCCTACTATAGTAATCGTATAATTACAGGGCAGTGTCTCTCAAAACCCTGGACCCTGAATCGAATCATAAGGCCCGTTATTCCCTTGCCCCAACACCCCCGGAACTCGCAGCCCAAGAAGGGCTCTCCAGATTAAGGCTCCAAATGTAGGCTGCAAGCATTGGCCCAAAGTCAGGATCCAGGGGTTGGGATTTGGAGTTCAGGATTCCAGACTTAGGTTTCAGGGTTTAGGGTTTAGGGTTTAGGTTTAGGCAAAACGCAGACCAAGGCCCCAATCAGTCCCTACATTCTCAAGTTTAATACACGGCCTACCTGCTTGAACTGTATGGGTAACTCCTACTTCGGCCTCGACCATCCCTGAGCCCTACACCCAGATCCCCAAAAGGATCTAAAAAATAGATCCCTAAGGGGGTTCCTATAAAGTACCCTTTAGTAGTTAGGGTCCCTACTTAGGGGCTCTATTTTTTAGATCATTGTGGGGGTCTGGGCAGAGATCCGTACCCTTGACCTTGGAAACAACTGCAACCCTAAACCATAAACCCTAAACCCTAAACCTTAAACCCTAAACCCTAAACCCTAAATGCCCCAAACCCTAGGCCCTAAAGGCCCCAAACCCTTAAAAATCGAAATCTACATCCTCAACCCAAGATCCAAAATCCCAGCCTCAAACCCAAGGTCATAAATCCTCAACCCTATATTATCCTCCAGTTTTTTAGGGTCGATGGTCTAGGCTTTAGGGTTTAGGGTTTAGGGGTTTAGGGTTTAGCGTCGAGGTCATCCTTCAGCGGCTGTGCAACCACCTGGAGCAGCTGAAACCCGACCCGCAGCCGCCCAAGGACGGCTGCAAAGCCTGCGACTTACGGCCTCGGGTTTAGGGCTTAGGGCTTCGGGTTTAGGGCTTAGGGCTTCGGGTTTAGGTTTTAGGGCTTAGGGCTTCGGGTTTAGGGTTTAGGGCTTAGGGCTTCGGGCTTCGGGTTTAGGGTTTAGGGCTTCGGGTTTAGGGCTTCGGGTTTAGGGCTTAGGGCTTCGGGTTTAGGGCATAGGGT